CTTTTGCAAGTACAACAATGGCCTCCCGCTCACTTAGCTACGCCCTTCAAGGTGTGATCAAGTCCCTGCGCAGTAAGGATAATGAGCTTTATCAAGAAAGTGGTGTACAGCGTTGCTGGATCGTGCGAAGTGCTGAGGAAGTCATTCTGGATCTCAAGCAGAATGCACAATCCCTTTCAGGCTGTACACCACATACAGCGGACTTTACAACTATGTACACGAACCTGCCACACGACAGGATTCTTAACAATGTTCTGAATGATGTTCGTGAAGCACATGATTATGCTTTGGGGCGGATCTCACAGGGCAAAAGGCCAGGGCAGATGTACATGACCATAGGAGGTCCTCATCGTGGGGAGTGGGTTACTTCACATGGGTCAGACACCCTCTCGGTGTCAGAAATAGAGCAACATCTGCGGTTAACAATGTTCTGAATGTTGTTCGTGAAGCACATGATTATGCTTTGGGCCGGATCTCACAGGGCAAAAGGCCAGTACAGATGTACATGACCATAGGAGGTCCTCATCATGGGGAGTGGGTTACTTCACATGGGCCAGTACAGATGTACATGACCATAGGAGGTCCTCATCGTGGGGAGTGGGTTACTTCACACGGGCCAGACACCCTCTCGGTGTCAGAAATAGAGCAACATCTGCAGTTCGTGGTCTCTAATACTTGCCTTTATACGAGGGACGGAACTCTGCGCCATCAGGTGGTCGGTATCCCTATGGGCACTAATGCTGGACCAGAAATTGCCAACCTCACACTTTATTGGGACGAAGCACAGTTCATCGATGATCTTCGTCAACGAGATCTGTGTGCTGCGCAAGCATATGCATTCACATACTGATTCATTTATGACATTCTATCCTGGAAGTTACCACCGTCTCCTGCTCGGTATGGTCATGAGTGGAAAGACACTACTGAGCAAGATGGGTCATGTCTTTTCCTTCGGGCAAGAATCCTGGTTCGGCCTGATGGATCACTTTGCATTGGCGTATTTGATAAGGCCGAGACCTGGACGTTCCCTGTCATGCGTTATCCCAGTGCTTTCTCCAATGCTCCAGCTCATCAGCCTGCAAGTATTTTCACGGGACAACTAACGAGATTCGAACATATATGTAACAATACCAGCGACTTCAAAGCGGCAGTGACTTCCGTGACACGACGTATGCTTGTCAGGGGCCATCCTCCCAGTGTCCTGGCTAGAGGCTGGACTGCATATGTGCGTGCCCGACAACGCCGGCTACCAACTCATGTCACACGACTTTCGAACTGGTTTCGCCAAATGGCTCGCTGGGCAATTGCTCACCCACTCCCGAAAGCTGATTCTGTGCGCAGGTCCTCCACCCAACCGCACACAAGAGACCACCACTCATCGCCTGGCACCAATGTTGACCGCAGCCAACATCAGCCCTCCGCACAATCAAATGCAGATGGCCCGCCCTCCCCGGTTATCCGTGCTGAAATGGCAGACGCTAATGTCGATACGCCAACTCAGCCAGGGATCATGCCAGCCGCATTAAACAATGTGAACGTTACCGAAATGGCAGTAAGGGATGAAGGCTAGCATCCTACCAATACAGCGACTGTTGTTGTTGTTGCTGCTGCTGAAGGTATACCTCCTCCGCTGCCACTGCTGCCACTGCTGCCTCCACCACCACCACCACCACCACCACCACCACCACCGCCATCACCGCCCTCACTGCCATCATTATCAGCAGCACCACCACCATCATCACCGCCACCCCCACCGACGTCCTCTATTGCAGCATCCTCTCAGTCATCTGCATTATCTTCTTCTGCTTCCTCTTCCCCTACTTCCTCTATTCCTCATCATCGACCTCATCATCAACGCACTCATGGTCAGATCGGCCGTCACAAAGGCCCTGTCGGCCGAGATATCCGTTATTAGATCGGTCGTTAAAGATGCCTCTTCGGCGGAGACGTTCACCGTCTCCACAGCAGCCTCCAAGACAGCAGCGTCGTTTGTTGTTGAATGGCATGATCACCGCACCCCCTTCAGGGGTTAGAGATTTGCTCCGACGACATGCTTGCAACCGTACGGAACGACATCGTCGCTTTCAGGAATAGTGCACATCAAGTCCGATGTCCGCAATGTGGCAATGATTTCTTCACTGTTGCAGGCTTACGAGTGCACCAGACACGAGGTGCAGCTACTTGTGCAGTGTTTGCACGAGTAGCAGCCGCCCTGAGCACAAGTTAGGCTGATTAGCTTCCGATTCCCACATCCGGTCCACCCAGTTCTCACCCACTTGCCCCTCTCTCATCCACGTAGCCCTGCTCGCTCCCCTGCCCCAAATGACAATGACCCGTCTCCTGATTACCTGATGGAGCCCCCGGTTGAAGATCATCTCTCTCCAGAGCACATACCGGAGCCAATTCGTCAAGACCACAACGAGTCTCCACCACCTGTGCAACCTGCAAAATCGAACGAGGATCCCCCTGCCGTGAACGGATCCCCCTTGCAACCTGCGGAATCAGACCATGTCATAGCGCCACAGCGAGGGCGCTGTGCGTACTATGCCATTAATGTATGTCTCCTTGCTTACAATTGTAATCCTTATACTGTTTCTGATTTTGCAGACGTTGTTTGCTGGATAGAAGTAGAGCACCGTGCCGTCTGCCCACAGGACAACAGTGCTGCGCTTGGTGTGAACATAAAAGTCCTGGCTATGGCGTTTATGCGTAGGCGACTGCAATTCCAGCCTGCTCCGCAAAACCACGTGCCAGGCAGGGATCCGAATATTCAGGCATATATCTTATATCGTCCAGACTTCAGTGCTCTTACCTTTGCAGATAATTCATGGACGCTATGGGGAAATATTAACTCTTTCTATCACCAAATGCTGGAGGATCACTCAGTCTGGCTCGTCCATCAGAAACAGTATGTCAATGAGCACTTGCAAGCACTGCACCCCCCGGAGAGCAATCCGGCTGATTCTACCACAAACAGTGAAAGGACCTCTCCAGAGGATGATGGCTGTGCCCTCCCGTTGTGTCGTCTCACAAGTGCAGTTCGGTTGGCATGTACACGGCATAGCCTCTGCTCCGAACACTATGAAGGGATGGTCGCTGCTAGCCTCTCACACGAAAATTGTGATCCCCTGTCCTGTGCTCATCCCCCCCACCCCCTGATTACTTGCCCAGCATGCCRTTGTGGCCTTGATCTKCCATGCTTAAATAACTGTGCACGTCAGCCTTCCATACTAATGACATGTCAGCAACATGCCATGTGTCGTCAATGCTTCCAGGAAGCTGTCATCGTGGACTATCCCCGGTGCCATCACCCTCCACATCCTCTCCTAGCATGTCCCACATGCGGTGTTGGTCAGACACCTACGGCAACCGCTGACGGATCTCCCTCTTTCTTGCCAGACGAATGACAGACACAGCAGTCCGAGGAGGAAAATAGACTTCTATATGAACCACCGGCAGAGCGATGTGCTCATAGTTTATCACCGCCAAGGCGAGCTGTTGCGGATCAAATCCTGCACCAGCTGAACGCCCTTGCGTTGGACTGATCCTCCCTGTCATCGTCTGCCCATAGAGAGTATATACTGAGGAAGCCCAAGAAAGATGCTCCACGCTGCTTTGTGACGACCCGCCGGAGATTCAACTAGCATGTGGTTCGCATGCCTTGTGCCGTGAGGAGTATGGCGGGATAGTCCATGCGAGTTTTTGCTTCCATACGTACGATGACAGTCAGTACTGTACTCGTGTACGGCACCCCGACATGTCATGTCCAATTTGTAGACAGGGGCTGGAATGAAACGGTATTCAGCAGCTAGCAGTGGCTGCTGCAGAGCCCAGGGTTTGATCCCTAGACCCCCAACCTTACCTGTGTACAGTACCTGTGTCGACCCGTAGAATTGAACCCGCGACCTGTGTATTTGTAATAGCTGATAGGCTGTCGTAGGGTCCCTAGGTAGCATGGGTTCGATCTGTAGACCTGTCGGATAGGAGTCTTAGTCAGGTCTAGACATCGTAGCTGTAGTTTCCTTGAAAGGTCAAGGTCGTAGCTGCTACAGTCCAGAAGGGTCAGAATCGTAGCTGCTACAGTCACGAAAGGCCAAGTCTACGACCTTCCGAAAGGTCCCTGTAGTGGCCTTTCGAAGTTGCCCACGTTTAAGCAGAGGCAAGTGGTCAAGTGGTGAGGCAAGTGGGCAAGTGGTACAAGTCTACCCTGCTGAGTCAACAGTCCCAGTTCCCAGTCAGTCCAGCAAGTACCGCACGGGACTGTGTGCACT